CACCAGGTAAGAATTAAGGTGTTGTTATATCCCCTAGAAGCTTCCAGCCTAGCTAAGGATGCTATGCAGGAAATAGATATACTGAGGCGATAGAGTATGCAATAATTTTCCACACAAATACCACAAGATTCTGATTTGTTCAGACCCCAGTACTTAGGAGGAGGCATATAAAAAAATGTTGGCATGTGTCAAAATACCACATTGAAACCTAATATTTCATGAAATTAACAGGTTAATTATTAAATAATTATTAAATAATTATTAATATTAAATAATTATTAAATAATCTTGACATGGTAGCACATACCTGTAGTCTCTTAGCACTTGGGAGGCTGAAGCAGGAGGATTTCTGTGAGTTCAAGGCCAGCCTGGGCTACATAGTGAGTTGAAGTCTAGCCTGAGTTACACAGTGAGAGCTTGTCTCAAATAATAATAATCTAGAAAAATAAATATATAAGTAAAAGATGTTGATTTTAGACCAGAAAAAGTTTGAAAAAGTAAACAAGACTTCTCAAGAAACGATTGCTGGGCCAGATGTGGCAGCCCACGCCTGTAACCCCAACACTCAGTAGGCTGAGGCAGGAGGATCTTTGGGAGTTTGAGACCAGCCTGGGCTACAAAGTGAGTTCAAGGCCAGCCTGAACTGCATAGTGAGACCCTGTCTCAAAAAGACAAAAAATAGGTAGGTAGGTAGATAGCAAGCAAGCAAGCAGCAGCCTTGTCAGAAGGAACACCACAAGCAAAGACAGATCAGGTGGCAAAGTCTGTGCCCAATTCTGCAGTCTTCCAACCAAGTCCTCATGGGGTCCCAAGAGCTTTTCCCCTTCACTGGCCCACCCAGAATCCCCCCATCCAAGATGAGGCACATCTTCTAGCCCATGCCTGTCCTGTGGGCAGTTCTTTTTCAGCAAACCTCTACGGATCCTCAACATCCTTCTGCTGCTAGAGGGCGCTGTCATTGTCTACCAGCTCTACTCCTTAATGTCCTCTGAAAAGTGGCACCAGACCATCTCACTGGCGCTCATCCTCTTCAGCAACTACTATGCCTTCTTCAAGCTGCTGCGGGACCGCCTAGTATTGGGCAAGGCCTACTCGTACTCAGCCAGCCCCCAGAGGGACCTGGACCATCGGTTCTCCTGAGCACCCGGATGACCTCAGGGACAGTATCCAGGCTTCAGCCAGGGGCTCCCTGGCAAGGGGCTGTTGGGGAGGATTAAATAGGGAGAAAAACAAAAACAAACAAAAAAAAAAATCCACCAGAGCTTTGTATTTTTGTTACGTACTGTTTCTTTGATAATTGATGTGATAAAAAGAAAAAAAAGTCCTATTTTTATATTCCCAACAACCCTGTGTGCTGTGGTTCTTTCCCTTCTTGACCTCGCCAGTGTACAAAGTGGGGCGGCACAGAGGCATGGTAGTAGTTGATGCTATTGACTGAGTGCTTGCTGTGTACCTGAGGCTGCTCTGTATATTTTCACACCTTGTCAGGCTGACTTAGGACAACCCTACCAGGTGTGTGCTGTCACTACTATACATGAGCTAGAGCCCAAGAGCTATAGGGATTTCCCTTGGCAATGTGGCTAGGAAGTGGTAGAGCCAGGACTTAAAAAAACACCTGAAAGCCAATAAACTGTCGTAGAAAACATGATGTCTTGATACTCCCAGCATATAGTTCCTGCAGCCTTGTTTGCCAGGTACTGTTTAGATGGTGAGGATGCTAAAACAGAAGCAATACTGTGCTGAGCTGAGTAAGGTACAAAGTAGTACAAGGGCGAGAATGAATGGCTAATGCTGTCTGGCCGCCTTGGAGGAGCAGCTGGTCTAGGTTGTATTAGTCACTTCATAGATGGATAAGAAGAAAGGCATTTCAGAGAGAGAAAAAGGACACATGCAATTATCTGGTGTATTTAGATTTATTCCAATACTGGAGATTGAACCCAGAAAATACTGTCATCCCCTTTTAATTTTTATTTTGGAACAGTCTTGCTGTGTTGCTCAGGCTGGCCTCAAACACGAAATCCTGCCTCAGCCTCCCAAGTAGCTGGGATTGTAGGTATGCGCCATTGCACCTGGCTGTTGTGTGTTTTGGGAGAGTAAGAAGATTGTGATTTCTACAGCAGAAAGGATAAGGAAAGAAGAGTAAGAATGTGGCTGAAAAGTGCAGCAGAGGCAAGGTCGGGGAAGACTGATGACCCTAGGTTAGGGACAGTGTATATGCAGGGCCAAATGCTAGAGTGGAAACAAACTTTGTAGGCCCCAACTTGATGAGGGCCTACCTATAATCTTGCCTACCCAGGCAGCTGAAGCAGGAGGATCACAAGTTTGAGACCAGTGTGGGTAACTTAATGAGACCTTGGGCCAAAATAAAAGGCCAGCAGGGTGTGGGGGTAGCCTGGTTGTATAGTGCTTGCCCAGCATGTGCTATGTCCTGGGTTTTATTCCCAGCACTGCAAAAATAGCAAAGATGTTTAGAAGGTCAGCTATTGAAGGGTTCAGGAACTGGAAAGAGGAAATGCAGACGGTATAGCCCACATTCCCTGAGTTCTCGCCAGAGTGTACACACATGAGCTTAGTATTGGATGGGAGACAGGTACCTCAACATATTTTTTGGTGCCTGCAGGCAGACACTGGACTAAATACTGGGATAGTTACAAAGACAGAAGATTTTGTCCCTTCCCTAGACACCTGGGAGAGATGGACAAACCTTGTGAACAAGTTAGGGTGTGAAGTGCTAACGAAAACAAGGATCCAGCCACGTGTAAATACCACATTGTTTCTCTGGTGCGAGAAACCAAAAGTGTAAATAAGGACCAAAATGTACAATACATATTGTGAAATAGAAAGCAAATGTTCAAATGGCTTGGAAGAGGAACTAGGGAGGAGGGAGGGGGAAAGAAAGGGGAAAGAAAAAAATAGAAACAGCTTTTGTAAATAAGGAGGGGAAGAGGAGTTGAAGGGAAGATAGAGGAATGGGGAAAAAAAAAAGTTACTACAGGTACAAATTCTCCATGATGAATGTGATCATTATGTGTACCTAAAATGTACTAATAAACTTAATTTTTT